TGGCGATTTGATTTGCCTCATGAGGACATACCCGCTGCTAATAACATCTGGCGGATGTGCTACCAGTGCTCTGATGCTGGCGTACTTTGATACGCATTCCGAATATCTGGCTTTGCCAAATGACAAGAATGTATCCACTCACATGGTCGGTGCGGACGTCGCCGAAGCTTACCCGGAGGTCGGCGCAAACAAGTTCCCTGTCAGAGTCCACGCTCGTGCTCTAAACTGTGCGACAGTTTTGAGCACAGCCTGTCCAGCGGTAACTGCTCACGATGTGATCAATTTGCGTCCATGGCTTGTCCGAGGCTGGTGCGTGCCATTTCACCCTTCTGCGGGTGCTGTGTCGAAGGTTAGTGCTCGCGAGGAAGTCACGTGCATTTTCACACATGTGTAGCAACCTCTCAGCGTTACCATTACGGAAGCCTAGACTGTGTTGGCCGCCCAGATGAAGCTCATCAATGAACAGTTTTCCAACTTGGGCGATCACCAGTCAGCAACACAGTATCCGTAGTTTTTCTTTAACGGAGTATCGCGTTCAGTTGCTGATAGAATTCATCTTACACCGATTCACTGCTACAGTTTATCGCCGCGTAGGCCGCAATGACAAACATGCACCGTTTGTCCCAATGCGACTTCGAGGCTCTGAAAGAGCCAGCCAATCTGCCAGCGCACATCAAGCTGTTCATTGGCATCCAATCGGTCAGGGCAGATTCAGGCCGGGGGCTAAGATCAATGCACATAGCTGTTTGACCGGCATCTCCGGACAAGCGCAATGAGAAAATACCGCCAGTATCGCATGTGCAGGACCGCAGGGTAATCACATAACTCTTATCTTGCAAGCGAGTTTCTGATAAGCGGCAGATCTCAATTGATAGGGTCTCTAGTGTTCAGGAAAGTGCTGCCTGTTGGGTACTCTGCAACAAAGTGCGCACTTTGAGGCGTTCCAGTCTTAACGAGGGTCGAGGACTCCATAAAGACGCGGATGAGCTGACGGTGTCCGGTTAGCTGGATCTGGACTTGGACCGGAGCCGCGCCCTGCGATCGCGTGTGAGTCGAAATTAGTAGATAAATGATTATTAATCAAAGGTGGGGAAGGTTCAAGTATTGGGGATTGAAAACTGGGTGATACAAAAGTGAAGTGGGAACTGGAAGATAGGGATTAAATGGCGCAAGAAGGGGGATAAGTAAACGGAAAGGATTGAGCGCTAGCATCCAAAACCCTATTCACCTCGCTGGATACATCATATAGGGCACCGTTTATTATCCTCTGCAACGGCCAGAGCATCAAGGACTTGTTTGAAGAAAAATTCCTTTTGTTGCTTGTGCAGGTTGGCTAGGGCTAGACAGGAGAACGATTAGGGTTCTCAACCGTATCTTTTTTAATCCTCACCGCAATGCAGCGGGGTTTTTGGGCTTGGACTACTGAGAATCGGTTTTATGAAGTAAGACGCCTCCCTCACTCTAAATTTCAACCTGGAGAACCCGGAGGATGAGTTAGTCTAGCCCCTCACTATTGACTAATCTGGTATGAGTGGCTCTGAAGGTGCAAAAGCACCCAGCACAGTTCATTGTACCTCTGAGGCACACAAATCATCGCACCACGTTAAACTCATGTTTCGTCACGGGGGCAGCATTAATTGGCCGGTTCGGTTAATCGCTTCCAGCGTTGCACGCGGTCAGAATAGACGTTTATTCAAAGTAACATCAGGTTGCATTAACAGACGAACGTCTCCGGGCATGAAGTGCCTTCATGTTACTCACCAACTCTTGCGTTTCCTCCGCACATTTCCTCTCTTCAGTTTACAGCGCTATTGAAGGATTGAACGTTGGGTTTTAGCTGTAGCCTTGAATGTATGATTATGCATTTATCACTTCATCACTTTGGCTGAAATTGTACTGGCACGCTTCCACGGTTCTGGACTTCGGTCGAATCCCTTGGTTGATTGCAGTTGTCCGCAGGACATCTTGGCAAGTAGAGGGCAACCTCCATAAATTGCAGCGTAGGATTTCTGCTCTACACACGTTACATTTATAAGCAGCAATCCCTGACAACCAGTAGCATTTCGAATCTGTGTAACTCCTTCGAAACACGATCAACAGTGTTTAAAAAAACTGCAAAAGCTATCATTGATCTGCCAACACTCGGATCGTTTTTCAACTTCTCACTTGATATCGTAAAGAACGTTTCCTTGCACGCGCATATATATCCTGGTGCTGAATACATCCTTCACAAAACGCCGATGTTGGCTTCCATGAATTTGGCTCAACTGCACTCTCAGCTTTTCCTTCGATGTCCTGACGAGATACATCTTCCAGAACTGTGGAAACACGGAATCACCACTCCCATTCAAATGAGGTAAGTCGTGTACCTCCGGCCAACTACTGCCCGATAGCAATCCTTCTGGGGTTTTACAGTCGGCGAAGCTATTATGGCCGAAATACTGACGAGATTTTTGGAAAGTTTACGGTCATCGCACCAGAGCAACGTGGATTCCCTCAAAACAGGTGTCGCACTACAAACCTGTTACTTCATCATTCCATTGGAGCTGAAACCGTCGAAAGCGTTATGGATGTTAACGCTGTTTATCTAAACATTCCAAAGGCGTTCGACTTTCTGAATCCCCGCATTCTCCTTCACCAGCTTCAAAGTTGTGGAATCGGTGGTTCAGTCTTATTTTTGATAAGTAACGTCCTATTTTAACTTCCACTGAATGTGCGAGTTCACAGCACCATCTCTGATCCCTTCGAAGTTCAGTGCGGAGTATCATTTATGATCGAGTTAATTAAGCAATTTCGCAGTAATGATCGTTTCAATTTTTTTTAACTTTTTCTGATGCTTTCAAAATATGACGGATCATCGGAACAACGGTGATCGTGTAGCGCTATTGGATGATGTTGCTAAAGTGTATGAGTGGGTGGCTCAGAAACTGTTTTATTTTAAAGTCAGCAAGTATACGACATTGAGCATGTTCAGAATCAATTTCTGCGGGATGCTTCTGTTGAATGCCACCTAGAAGTGCTTGTACAAGGTGATATTGGCGTTTTATCTCAGGCCAAAACATCAAAAAGGCAGACAACACATTGGCTTATTTCAGATATTTGGTCCTTTTATCTTCTCTCAAATGCTCATTGCCTATAACAGGCCCCATTCAGAATGCGCCATCCCCGTCTGGCAACCATCGCAAAAGCGGGATCTAGCCGCCTTCGAAAGTCAACAACGAAGAGCCATCAGGAATATAAAAGGATTGTTTCATCTTTGCCAGCGGAGACTTTAAACTCTGTAGGTCTACAGTGAACACTATTGTCACCTGCGCGGCGACATGATAATGACATCTGTTCCTGTTAAAACTCAAAAAAGTTTCTCGTTACCTACCGGAACGAAGCCGACCTCATTACACTTCATTCAGTAGATCATTTTGCTTGTATGGCAGCGAAGCATCAGTTTAAGTGGCTGATATACTGCCGTTGATGACACGACAATTGCTTCAAAATTGGGTCAAGAAAGTCCTAATTGTCACTCGGAAATTAGCAGGCGGTTCCAAATTCCCGGCACGAAGTGCGAGGAATTATGCCTTTTAAACTCGTCATTTGTACGCGCTATTAGCTTGTGACCAGGGAAACTGTTTTCTGAGCAACTGTTTTTATTTCCTTTTGAGAACCGCATACTATTGTGATACATGATATCGGGAGTGCACTACAACATTTTTACTCTACATTTGGGCTTAATGGAGCTTTGACTCCGCAACTGTTACCAACCATGAGTTGTATACCACCGAACTCGCGAAACATACAACCTCGTCCACTGGAATTCCATCACATCGCCGAGTTACACCACGAGGATTCCAAATGGGTGCTGTTCCTTTTTGTGCGAAACTCGTTGCAACCAATTCCCTTTTCGATGGACTGCAACACATCCAAAAAGTTCTGGGTACTCCTTTCGTTCCATGAAGACTTGATAACGGCTCACAGTACCGCAATGCCTCCAAGTATCGGACCCATTACTTAAGTGTCGGGAACTCGGTGGCTTTTGGCGCTAGATCGTACGTGACGACTGAGGACCGTTACCTGCAATATTACGATCGATGCAGACATCGAGGGGAATAGTGATTATTAAAGAGTACCAGTCGATTTTACTGGGTTGTGCAAATACCTTCATTTATGAAATGCCGCGCTAAAAAGGTTGTTTCTTATGTATCTTATACACCTTAACTGTAACTACCAAAGCCTGACTTGAACTTTTAATCTAAAAGGATAACGAGCGCGCAGTATGTAGTTACTTACGGTGGCGATTTGTGGCCTGTGGTGTCTAATTTTGAAGTGAGTTTCCGATTTTTTTTACATCCATCGTCTGACTAGTAAGACCTTTTTGTCTGTATTATGCATTCAGGTGATCGCAGCCGTCGCCCCTAACTAGCCTCAGCGGTGGCTATTCTTATCAGTCTCAGCAGAAATACATATTCAGATTATCAAACATTTCTTATACCGGATATGCGACCGTAGGGCTGATATCATCAATTTGACGCTTAGCACTTGCGTGCACGAGTGGCGGTTCTCCCAGTGGTTTTCCTACATTGGTCCTTTTCGCTTCTATTGGACTGTGTCTTTTGCATTGGACATTTCTTTTATGCTTCTCTCTCGATTGCCGTCTTTCTCCTCCATGTTCCCGTTGACGCAGTTAGAAAACACTGAGCTGCTTACTGAAAGTGTCATTGCGGACACTCTTTGGATTCCTGTAACACAGTTCGCTTTGCAACGCGATTTGCACGATAAAAAAACGGAAATCTTGCTTTTTAAAATTTTATTTGTGTTCTCACTTGATGGTTGCTTTTCGAAAACCAAATTTCTGGTCTCGTCTTAATGATTAGTATCACTTCTACAATGCAATATTGCTTGTACCACAACCCACTTCTTTAGCGATCCTTCTGTCAAATACGACCGATTTCTAGATATCTACCTTACTTGGTTGATCTGTTTAATGCCTTTTTGCTTCTTGATTTTAGCACCGCTACCAATGAGCCGGCCATTGGTCGTGTGCAAGCTGCTGAGTTCCTTCTGCGCACCATCTTCACTCTTCTCACGGATCGATCGCGACCTGGCATTGGTCAGTTTTCCACGGATTATCTACAGTTGCAAAGCCCACACCTACAACCTGACCGTTTTCTGCTTACGCCTGATCTAGAACAACACTACGCCTCTTTGGTCGATGCGGTTATTCACACCCTTTGCCTAAAGGCGATGTCGTGCAGCCAACTGATGCAGCTGTTACCATGTCAGCCCCTTGGTTGTCTTATCAAAGTTCAATCTGATGAATTATCTACTTCGGTTACTTCCCCATCGACCTTCCCCACTACTGTGCCGACATCGGTAGAAGATATCCGACCTGCATTGGTGTCCGGAAGGGCGAACAAGCGGGCTATAGAACACGTGTTACCTCGCATTTTGCGACAGGTCGCTACCGAAAGCACAGTGAACGGTCGTGTCGTCTTCGCTATCAAACCAGAAGTTATCGTTGGGCGTTTCTTACGCTTCCACTGGGGCTATCGGCACACAGAACAAAACATGGTAAGCCATCCGCCGCATATGTGTTTCCAGGTCTGTTGATACGCTTATTTCGCTCATTTTTTCCATTTTTCACAGCTTCTACTAAATCAGCTTAACCCACTGGTAGTACTGCGAAGCCTATTTTCACTTTCCCATTGTTGATTTTGCCAAGTTCACCATCACATTGTGGACACAAGTCGTCCATTCCTGCTGTGTTGGAATGGCAACACGAACATGTTACCGAAGTTAGCTACGATTAGCTTAAGCGACGTATGCAAGTTTATAGAAGGTAGTTCAGTTAGACATTAATATGAGATAACAAAGCTTTAGTACAATGTGGCAAACACAACACCTGATATACGGAGACTCAGCATGCAAGCACGCGGTTAGTACATCGAATGCAGCGTACCTACAATCGCTACGCCGGTTCTACCTACGTTCTCAGCAGGACCCATCGTTGTTTCGGTGGTGTCTCCCAGTGATCGATATCTGCTGCTTATCGGAGACCCGCCTACAAGACTCGAGCTCTGTGCTCACTCTGCGATCTCCTTCAGGGGACACTAGCAGCACTTTCTCATTGCGCCTATCCGGTGACGATGAAGTTTCGAGTACCAACCAAAGTGGTGTTGGTATTGCCCTGAGTCCCCGGGCTAAAGCTACTCTAGTTGATTTGATCCCAATCAGTAGCAGGATGTGGGTGGTCCGATTGTGTGGCTCGTTCAAAGCTTCGAAGTCGCGTAGGACTAACGGGTGTCTCTACGTCATCGCTGCCTATGCACCCACAAACTTCGTCACAGAAGAAGCTCGGACACTGTAGTGCTGGCTGGGAATCTGAACGCACAAGTTGGAAAGTTGTCCACTGATGAAATACATCTGGGCGGTAAGCACAGTGTAGGCTCCCGCAATGATAACGGTGAGCGGTTAATTCATTTGTGTGAGGATGCTCGCTTATTTCTTGCGAGCACTGATTTCCGACACAGCACTCGCCGGAGGGTGACTTCATGGCCACCAACCTCGAAGCAGCTATGGACGCAAATTGATAATATTCCTATCAGTTACCGCTGGAGAGGCTGCATTCACAACCGTCGCTAGATTTGGAGCACATGTGTGGACACCGATCATGCACTTGTATGTGCTGACCTGCGGGTGCGTTTTGGCGGACGCGCACGACGACGCTGTGTGCGCGTTGACACCAGCCAACCGGCGAAGCCAGCTGTTCTGAATGCCTATCAAAGTACGCTGACATGCAAGTTGAGTAAGCGCTCACTGGATGCAATTGATGCTCACTGGTCTCATATTCACCAGACCTTACTAGCAGCAGGCAAATCCTCATGTGGTAAGTCTAATCGCCAACATGGACATTGGGTCTCTTCGCAGTCTTTGGAACTTATCGATGATCGCCGGCATATTCCGCCTGGAAGCGAACACAATGAAACTCGTAAAGAGCTCCGGGCAAAACTCCGTGCTAGCCTGAAGAGAGATCGCGAATCCTGGTGGTCTCTTCGTGCGTCAGAGATGGAACTATTCGCTACCCTTGGTAACCATTGTAAGTTATTCCGTCTGCTACGGGAACCGGGCAGCAGGAGACCTGATGTTATTGAAACTATACGTGACGAGATTGGACAGTCTATCCACAACTTGTCAAAGCGTTTGGAGCGTTGGACTGAGCAATTTGAAAGGCAATTTAATCTGTCGGAATTGTTCGATTCTTCGCCGGCCAGTGTTCGACGTGCTCGGTGGGCTGTTCCTTTGGATCCACCTTCTCGCTCAGACGTTGAACTTGAGATCGGACTTTTGAAGTTAAATAATGCCGCGGGACCAGGTGATCTTCCTCCAATTCTCTTCAACTTCGGGGACCTGCTCTTGTATATGATTTACACGAGTTACTAGTGAAAATGTGGGAGCAGGGCACTGTATCAACCGACTGGAACCGCTCCGTCATATTCCCAATATTCAAAGGAGGGTCACGATCGAAATGCGACAATCATAGTGGAATCAGTTTGATCTCCATCGCCTCCAAGTTGCTTGCCTCTGTCATCCTTCACGGACTGAATGGGACTCTTGAAATTGATATTCGTGAAGAGGAAGCCAGGTTTCCTCGATGTCGTGGCTGCATTGAACACATCTTCACTGTGCGTCTGTTGTTAGAGCACCGTCATCTATACTGGCAGCCCACCGTTGTCGTGTTGCTCGATATGAAAGGTACATTCAATTCGGTGGATAGACGTGCCCTTTGAAATTGTCTACTCAGGAAAGGTGTGCCCGAGAAATATGCAAATATTACCCAAGCATTATACGCGCGTAGCACGGGCAGAGTGAGGGCTTACGGCAAGCTGTCTTCGCCCTTTAATATCTCCAGCGGTGTGAGACAAGGATGCCCGCTGTCACCTTTCCTCTTCAACTTCGCTATTGACGAAGTCATGGAGATTGCATTTATAGGGCATGAAATTTAAGGTGTGGAGCTACTCCAAGGAGATCGACTTTTTGACTTGTAGTATGCAGACGACATTGCTCTAATCTTTGACAGCTCACAAACGTGCCAAGTGGTACTGGACAGATTTGCACTGGCTATCATCCGCTTTGGGCTTTGCTTCGCACCCTCGAAGTGCAAAGCGTTCCTTCAAGATTGGCAGGGATCCCCTCCTACGTTGACCCTTGATGGGGATCAGCTATAAGTCGTTCGGAAATTCAACTACCTGGGAAGTTGTATCAGCGCACGTGGGATTGAAAATTAGATCACGAACCGTATAGCAGAAGCTCGAGGCGCTTTTGCTAACCACCACTTATATCGGCGGCGCGACATCATTCTCGCCCTGAAGCGTAGAGTGTGCAATGCAGCGGTACGTTCGACCCTACTGCACGGTTGTAAAACCTGGCCCCTGAGATGAACAGACCTAAAGAGGCTAGTTACGTTAGACCACCGGTGCCTTCGTAATTTAGCCCACATCTGGTGGGGACACCTAGTTAGAAACGAAGGTGTTCGACGCCTTGTTTACGGCCCAGGAAAAGGAAATGAACCGCTCAGCGCCGTTATTCCACTTGCCATGCTCCGATTGCTCGGCCACGTGTTACACATGCCAGCCCACCGACTGCCGCGACGTGCTTTGTTTGGGTGCCGCAGGTGTGGATGGAAGATGGGGAGAGGTGGCCAAGCGATGACTTGATCGAGGAGAATTAAGGCCCTCGATTTGGGCTGGCCTCAGTTGGATCGTCTCGGCTCCCTGGTTAGAGTTTGAAAGACGATGAGCACGTTTGGCTGGATACACTTGCTGCCATGGCTAGGAGCCGACCTCAATGGTGTTCGTGCTGTGAGTTTCTTTGTCACACCCCGTCCCTCTTAGCCTCCCCCTCCAACTAGTATCCCACTATTTAGCCTTATATTACTTTGCATAGTAATTTTTTGATACAAAGTAACCGGCTGGTAGCTTACCGTAACGATGCCCATACGTTACCGGTAGCTCAGCTGGCTTGCAGCTGTTGCATTTTCTCTGCTTTTTTCTTCTATGTATTGCGGCACAGTAGCTGAGGTGTTTCCCACCTCTAGCTAACTTGTATACTGATGATGTTGATGGTGTCTCCGATTGACCTCAATCATAGCTCACTTGGCCTGCCTGACTCAGGCACTCGCGACCGCATATGCGCTCGTTGTCGATGGAGTACAACAAAGCGGCGCCTCTCATTTTCGCAATTGCCGCTATTTTTCCACATGCACGAGAGATTTCTCTTGCACCTCTGCACCTGCTTTCGTGTTCAGATCGCGCCATGCACGCTGATCAACCGCTTTCGATTTCCGTGATATGCAATCAAGATTAGAACGTGAGAGGCTCACTTTGCTCATGTCCTGGTAACGAAGCTTCGCTTTCCCCACATGTCGCTTCCTTAAACTCGGTTGACTATATAATAGCTGAATCGGTATCCGCGTCTAATCCATACGCCATACATGACCGAGCCCCCTAAGGTGTCTCAGCAGTCCACTGCATGTATTCCACTTCGGTACAACACTTCTTTGTCCGGAGCTCTGTCGCAACACCGTAACTGCAATTCTGTCGCACCAACCAAGGTGCAGACTCCGTCGCAGACACTGTTGTTGGAGCCGCTCGAGTTATCGCACTTCCCGCCGGCGCATCCTCCACGTTTCGCTGCTGTGTAGAAGAACGGACAGCACCATGGATTTGTACACCATCAGCTTTCTGCCCGCGGTAAGCTGATGGTTGTTCCACACTCGATACTCAGGCTTACCGATTGCCGCCACTGCTTTCGAGACGCGGGTACGCAGCTCACTGTGTAGCTGCTGGTCAGTCGACACCACACTCCAAAGGTGTCAGAAGCAGGCGGAGGTTTCCAATACTTCCCCACCAATGCTGCTTTGCTGCTCCATCGTAGATTGCAGCTCTGGTGAAGGGTGAAAAAGACAGACTGTTTTGCTTGTATTGATGCTGAACCCGAATTTGACCGCTGTCGAAGCTAGTACGCTAGTCATGTACTTGAACTCATCCGTGCTGTGTGCAAACGACGCACAGTCGTCAGCAAACGGCAACATAGGGGTAGTTGTCTCACAGACTAGGGTTCTAGCGCCGAAACAGGGAATGTTCCGAAACCCACCACGGGAACACCGTTAGCACAGGCCGCGTCTATACAACAACACATCATTGTATGAAGATAAATATTAAACAGGGCAGAAGCTAAGACACAGCCTTGCATCACACCAGTGATAACTGCAAAGTCATCCGAGGTCTGTCCACTAAACAGCATCATCGCCCGCATGCCACTATGCAGACATTCAATTAGACTTACTCGGACAACCAAACTTACCCAACACCAGCCACAATGCCTCGCGGTTCACCGTATCAAATGCCTTGGTGAAATCAATTAAAAGCGAGTACAATGGCTGGTGTCGTTCTCTTCACTTCACTTGCAACTGACGAGCCGCAAACACCATATCTGTAGTGCTGCGACCCGAACGGAATCCACACTGCTCCTCAGCCACGTTAGGTTCCACAACCCGACTGATGAGGCGGTTG